CGTCAGCCTAGCTCACAGCAACCTCGGACTCCTGGGCTCAAGCAATGTTCCTGCCTCAGCCTTCCGAGTAGCTGGGACTACAGACATGTGCCACCATGCCCAGCTAATTTTTTCTATATATATTTTTAGCTGTCCAATTAATTTCTTTCTATTTTTGGTAGAGACAGGGTCTCTCGCTCTTGCTCAGGCTGGTCTCGAACTCCTGAGCTCAAACGACCTGCCCGCCTCGGCCTCCCAGAGTGCTAGGATTACAGGCGTGAGCCACCGCGCCCAGCCCAATTTTTTGTGTTTTGAATATGTGTAAATTAGTTTTAAAAATAATTACCAAGAAATACCATTTTGTTCACTTTGAACCAATTTGAGGGTTTGTCCTTTATAATACTCTTCTTCCCATTTATAATAGGTCATCTTTAAATTACAAAAGTGATATATATTCATGCTTTTAAAAAGGTCCCCAAATATCATAGAAGTATACAAAGCAAAAAATGAAAGCAGAATCATGTATGCTAGTTCTATTTCTCTTTTAGAAGAGCTTTAACATCTTCTCTATATCAGTACATTTAAAGCTACATCTTTTGTGTATTTATTTGAAATGGCTGCCTTGTTTTCTGTTATGTGAACAGGCTATAATTGCCCCTGTCCTCATGGGTGGTGGGCATTTATCTTTTGGCTATTATGACCAATGCTTGTAGTGAGCATCCTTGTACGTATCTTCTTTTGTTGACGAATATCAAGTATTAAATCTATGTATAGATTGTTGCTTTTTTAACATATAGAAATGTACTAGGAAAAAGCATATGCACACTTAAAATTTTTCTGCTTATCATTACTGCAAAGTTGACCTCACAGAACGTGTTCATTTTTTCTTCCGTGTGTATTAAGTGCAGATACTGTAATTCTTTAGTATTTGTGTGTATGTATATATTTATGTTTCTTTGACTGCAAGTGTGAATTGGAACCTTTTTTTTTTGAGACAGAGTCTCTCGCTCTGTTGCTCGTCCTAGAGTGCTGTGGCGTCAGCCTCGCTCACAGCAACCTCAAATTCCTGGGCTCAAGTGAACCTCCTGCCTCAGCCTCCCAGAGGGCTAGGATTATATGCATGAAGCCACCACACTTGGCCAGGAACATCTTTTTATGTGCTTATAGCCTTTATGTGAATTGCCCTTTCATATCTTTTTTTGGTTTTCTTATCTTTTGGTGATTTTCTAATTGGTAAGTTTTTGGGTTTTGGGGGGGGGTTTGCCTTTAATTTGTAAAGGCTCTATATTAAATGCTTCTTAGTATTTTGCCTTAAAAAGATTATCCATTTTCTAAAATTATTTTAGTATATTGTCAAAATATAAGTTTTCCCTCCTTGAAGTGGAAATTCTTTATTCATTTGTTTGCTTGATTTCCTGCACTCTGCAACCTTCTGGAGAGCCTGGGACATGGTCTTTTCCAAACAAGGCCTAGAAGAGTGAGTGCTGGAACACTGCAGATTCTCAGACATGTCTGGTGTAGATGGGTGGATGGGTGAATTAATTAAAGGAATAAAAGCACATTTATGTCTGTATCTAATGGGTCATGAAGAATTACATAGTTGAATGCTTAAGTTATTTTAAATTTTTTTGGTCATTTTCTTGTCCTTTTAAAATTACTTTTGAACTTTAAAATTTTTATAGGAGAAGATGGATTTTAGCTACTCTCCAGAACCGAAGTTACAGTTTCTTAGGTGAGAAACACCAAAAATTGAAATTAACAGACACTAAAAATTTGAATAAAATGGGCAATTAAAAGATATTTGTTGACATCTTGTGCCCTCTGCTTGGGATTATAATAGAAAAGAGTATATGGGCATACTCAGACCAGAGCCATTTATGGAAATCCTCTTCATGTCATAGACACCCTGAATATAATTTAGAAATTACTGGTAGGTAATAGTTCATTACTATGATATACAAAGAAAAATTTTGAGAGATAGGATGCAAGTTACATTCCTTGTAGTTTAAGAAGATACCATTTTGTGTCCTCTTAATTATAGTGGAAAAAGAATCAATATAAAAGTAAGTTAATCACATAAGTCTTGCCCCTCCCTTGTCAATGCTGTTAGTGATCTAAGACCTCTCTAAAACCTCTCTAAAACAGGCAGTGAGTCTCACTCACTGTGAGTAGTAAACTAAAATAGCGTTGCTATAATTTTATGAGGGGGCTGGGAAAAAGTGGACAGCCATTTGATAGCTAAGAATCTTCACATCGTCTGTAAGGCAGGTACAGTCAGTCACAGCAGAGTACTGCTTATCATCTTGGGGCATGGTAGTCTTTCTGTCTTTTGAATTTCTTCTCTAGTGTTATTTTAATGTACATGATCAACCAGATTTTGTTTAGGTTTGGAAAGTTTCACCTGATTGTTACGTGTGCACACATGTATCTCTTACAAATTTCTGCACCCGATAGGGTGCCACTTTATACTTTTTTTAAAGGTTATATATGAGACTTTTATACTCTAAAATCTGGATTGGAGATCTAAAACATATCCCTTTTTTGGTTTTGTATTTGCTTTACAGTTAGTTGTAGGTCATTCAAGGACTGAGGGAATGGGTCCTTAGCCTTTTGTTGGTTTGTTCTCTGACTTCCTCGACCCATTTTATTGCTTGCTGGGTTTTCTGCTCCTCAGGTGGCTATGAAAAATAGTTATTTGTTTTTGTTAATTATTCATGTCAGTATTTGTTGAGCATATTAAATCTATTAGTTAAAATGTACTTGCTTTCATTTTCTTTTACTTTCTTTCTGTTAGAATATTTAGTTGAGAGTTGGCATTGTTTAATAGCCATCCCTCTTTATTCCCCCACCTTGCCTTGTGGCAAGTGGTAGTATAGTTTGATGTGATGCTCTCTCTAATAAAATTCTTAAAATTGAAAAATGGGAACTAGCAGGAAACTAATTTTTTCTTGATAGTTATATTTGATGCAAGTGAAATGACACTGCAGACTACTGTAGGCACGCTAAGAAATGATTAAAAGCTTTAATAATTGCTGTAGATTAATTTTGGGTTAGAGAATAATACATTTGTTTACTACGTTGTACATTAGGTGCAATATTGGGTTTCCTTACTGTTGAAAGAGGCTAATTCTTCATTCTCTTTATTTTTTATACTTTGCATTTTATAACATTTTTAATAAAACTCAGAATTTCTGGCATTTGAGATATAAAATATATTCATATGAATATGTATGTGTGTATTTATATAAATGTTGAAGCCTTAGTGTAGAAAGAACATGCTGCTACGAGTAAAGATACCACAGGATTGCAATAGTATTTCTGACTTTGGTAAAACTTTTAAGAGTAAACAAAATTATGAACTTACTCAGCCTTTGGTAGCTGAGAGATTTAAGTTAGCTTCCACTTAAATAGTTCAAATCAGACTAAGTATTTCTGTTAACTAAGGCACAGCCAATGTGACCATTTATAGTCAGAAAACACATGGTAAAATCCCCATCTTTGTGCATAAAACAAAAGCAAATGGCTGTTTTGACATTTTTCTTAACAGAATGTCTGATTTTATATCATCTCTTCAGCTTTTATTCTGGTAGCCTCTGTGTTACATGTTACGTTCTTTTTTCATGAGGAAAGTTGCTTATAGATAAGATAGTTAATTCTAAGATAAAAAAGTCTGAATGAAATGTGCATTTTTTTGAGTGCCACCTTTCCAACTGAATGCCTTGATAAATATTCAGATTATTTGTGTGTTTTAATGATCAGACATTTAATCAGATTAAGATAAATTTTAGACAGACTACAATCTGAGCTTCAAATATAGGAAATTATTTCTTTAGGGTTTAGCCTTATTGCTTAAAATTTATTTTTTTAAAAAAAGCATCATGCTTCTTTATGCTTAGATGTCTTTCTCTGATATTCAGCAGCTTTCTTGGTATTTGAATTTCCATAGCTTTTAGGTATACAAGTCTTGGGCTTTTTTTTTTTTGAGTGGTAAATGGGAACACATCACTTTCAAATAAAGAAATACAGTGTGAAATGTGTGATCCTCTTTAATTAGGGACAGTTCTGTTCTTGGAATTAAAAGGAATATTTTAAAAGACAGAGTTATACTTCTAGTTTTGTTGGTCTTTGGACCATTCAAGCCTTTCTACGTTCTCTGTTAGATAGTAGATGGAATCAGGATAATGATAGGAACTAAGGTTTATTGAACACTTTCTAAAATATATAAGGCACCATTAGATAATTTAATATATGTTATACATTATGTCATATTTAGTCCTGATGATAATCATGTAAGAAGTACACTGATTTTCCAGATAAGAACATGGAGACTTAGATAATTCAACATGGGCAAGGTCTCCTAGTGGGCTAGCAAGTTTTAAAAACAAAACAAAACACTATTCTACTTCATAATTTGTACAATAAAAGGTCAACAACTTTCTGTAGCATTTCGGAGTAATACCATCTGACATTACCTATTACTTTTGGATCTTATGTGTGTGTGTGTGTGTTTAAAGGTTTTATTGTATTTTGTAGGCACAATTTTTAAAAATTTGAAATGCTAGCTTATGTCATATTTTTTCAGTTCCTTATATAATTCTAGTTTTATATTTTACAGTGTGAGCAAGTAAGATATCATTGCAGAGTAAACTGAGTACATTTTAAGTAACCCAAAATATTTTTCTACAAAGTTATCTAAAGTTTACAGTATACTTTTGCCAATGAACATCTCCCCATTCTCCTCTAAATTTAAGGATTCTGGTTCAGACTTTTCATTGACAACAAGTGACATTCGTGCTTAACACTCCTCCCCTCTATTTTACTCTTCTTCTTAGTATGTGTGTCTTCATTAGGAAAAGCCTTAATATTTGGGGTAGTTAGAATAAACTGTTTTGTGTGCTATATCTAATGGAAAAATATCAGCAAACTTTTCACATCGTTGTGCTAATGCATTCATTTTAGATTGGATTATTCTTATGCCTCTTTAGAGACTTCACTTTGTGTTCTCAGGTTTGTGCTTACTTGCTTGGCATATAGTTTATTCTATCTCCATAGCACTATGTATACAATTTTATTAGTATTTGTAATTGTAATTATGTGTCTGCTGTGTTGTTGAGCAAGCATGGTATTTCTAGTTTATAGTAGGCTCTCATATTTATGGAATAGATTAACAGTCCAGAAGTTCAAACTGTATGTAAAGAGACGTGTTGTCGAAGTTACATTCATATTTCCAGTGGATGCTTTTATTTGTAAGAAATGTTTGGTTGTATTTTATTTAGCCTGTTCCCATAAGGAAGGGGAAGTGTTGTGTGACATTTTAGTGCCATCTATCGGATACTTGGTAAAATGACTATAAAAATCTTTGAAGTGTCTAAGAATGTAAACTCATTTTATCATAGGCTGTTATTGCTGGCATTGCTATGTAAGCACATACACCCCTCCCCACCCCTAAGCAGTATTACTGTTCACCAATACAGTTTTACTTACATTTCTAAAGAAAGTTAGCCAAAACATTTAGTGTAAATGTTAAACAGGAAGTTTAAAAATATTTGTCTGTTAAAACTAATTTTAATTTATGAGAAAATACTAGGTTTTGGTGTGGGAAAGAATTTTAGTTTGAAGGAAAGACATAACTGGACAATATCTAAGTATTTTTCAGTTAAGTACTATTTGATTACCCAAACAAATGCTATTTTGTATATTTTCCATAACATATAAACTGTTTAATTGCAGTATCACTGTGAGGTAATTAATGAAGAAATAGCTTAGGTGTGATGTGTGTTTAAGGTTTGAAGGGGCATGAACTAGAAGAGGAGCTAAGGTGCAGGTATACCACTAATATTCTGAAATCCATGATGACGCTAGATTTCAAATATGTATGTATGCAGATTATATATTGAGTATAATATCTGTGAAGAGTTCCTGCCCTTAAGCTTTTAGTCAAGGATGACAAAAGACAAGACAATCGAGAAACATATTGTTCGTTACATATGCAGCTTGGGAAAATGCGTAAACTTTTTTTTTTTGAGACAGAGTCTCACTCTGTTGCCCTCAGTACAGTGCTGTGGCCTCAGCCTAGCTCACAGCAACCTCAAACTCCTGGGCTCAAGCAATTCTCCTGTCACAGCCTTCCAAGTAGCTGGGACATCAGGTGTGCCACGACACCTGGCTAATTTTTCTATTTTTAGTAGAGGACAGGGTCTCCCTCTTGCTCGGGCTGGTCTCGAGCTCCTGAGCTCAAGCAATCCTCGCGCCTCAGCCTTCCAGAGTGCTAGGATTACAGACTTGAGTCACCGGCCTAAAACATTTTTTTACATGGAGTTAGAGTTTTATATATTAGCTATAGATTCCCAATTATATGTTATCTTTATAGGAATGAACAAAAAGATGTGTGAGCTTACTGTTTCATGATTAATAATGCCATTGGTGTGCTTTGTACTTCTCTTTTGCATTTAAAATGATTTAGTTTTGACAGTGTGCTTTAATCTGAGTAGATTTTCAAAAGCAAGGATGAGTATTCTTTCTCAGGAACCCAAAGGAATTTCCTGTAGCAGCCATGAACATCAAAGAAGTTTTGTATTTCCAGTTGCTTCTGAATATTTGTGGTAGCAGGCAAACATTTCATCTTTTATTTTGTTCCCTGTCTTTTGGCAGAACAAAGTTTTCTCACTTTTAGGTTTGAATGCTAATTGAGAAAAGATTAATGCTTGGACTTTCAAATATCTAAAATATTTGTTTTCATATGAATAACATTTACTTTCAGCATTTCCAAAATTCGTTGTGAATCTTATGCTGACTTTTATAAGAACATAAGTAAGAATAGTGTTGATGCTAAGAATATGAGAACCAAGTAAGTGTAGTTTATTTCAATTAGAAAATAAACAACTATGATTTTGTAAAGTATATGTGGTATAGTGGAAAGGACATGGGATTTGAAGTTAAAGAAACTGGGTTTGCTTGAGTCCTGACACTATTACTCACTAGCTGCTTTACCTGATGGGGGAGAATATTGAATTGCCTTTAAAAAAATAAAGAACTTTGTGAATGTTAATTATTAATTTGAGGCTTTGTAATTCTCTTCATTAATGAGAATACATAGATCTGTATGACAGACATTGAAGTCAGAAGATTTATGTTTGTACTTTTTAGCTGCATTTGTCATACATGTTGCTCATTAACTTTGCTGTTCAGTTTGTAATTCTGATGAATGCTAATAGTTATGTGAGCTCAAAACTTTTTCTATATTTGTAAAATGATTTTAGTTCCATCTTATGTCAGTTTTGTATTTGCTTTTATCAAGTGAAAATTGAAGTATGATGAGAGTACTTGGTAAAGTTAACCATAGGTTCTTATAAAAATATTGAGTATTTTTGTGTATGTTTTAAGTTTAATTAAACACATGGGTTGCATATAAAATTTTAATAATGGAGCAGAACCTTTTTTAAGACACTTTTTTATTGAAATCATTTATCTTAGTCTATCCCATAACAAAATTATTTGTAGTTTTGTTTGAGCACTTTAAAAGAAATCTTTGTGTACAGGGGAATATTTGAGGAAAATAAACTCTAACTTGATTATCATTTATGTTGCCTCTTGTGTAAGCTTAAAATTGAATTATCAGGATTTAAAAGATTAATTTTTTCTCAATCAGTTTTGAAATTTTCTTTTAATTTTGGGTGTTCTTTTTTATTGCTTTTTCAAGCAAGAAAGAGGTTTTTTGTTAAATAAAAAGACAAGTGTACTTATTGTCCTGTCTGTTTTTAAATGACTCATCCATTCATTTCCCTATTATAGCATTTTCTTTTGTAGCTTAGCACATGGGTGACTAGATAAAGCTTTAACTAGCAAAGAAATATTATGTTCCTAATTCTCTTGATAATTCATGACCTCAAACTATAAAATTATATTCTTTCGCAGTATCCCTTTTACTATTCAGCGACTGTGTGAATTGCTAACAGATCCAAGGAGAAACTATACAGGAACAGACAAATTTCTGAGAGGAGTAGAAAAGGTATTTATTTTTATTATTGGAATTATATTAAAGGTAATAAAACAGATTTCATAAAAGAACATTGAATAAGATCTGTTTCAGGTACCTTTTCTTGAAATAGGTTTTCCAGCCTACTTCGAGTTTTTCCTGAGTTTTCTAAGTTGTGTTCTGTGTTTCAGAGAGAGATTTAATGGAAGGTGGCAAAGGGGGGCCTGTGTGGTGATCATTTAAGCTTGGGGAAACCAGTTTATTATTTCTTGGAAATTCGTTGTATACATGAACATATTAAAGGTTCTGAGAAGTTCTGCAATTGACATTTTAACTTTTCAGTAGAGTGTTTTGCAAAGTTATTTACCCATGGAATTCATTTTCTTAATTCTGGAGTGCAGAGGTAGACAACTTTGGAAACTTGCTAGTGCAAACCTTTTAAATTAGGTCTTGAGTAAAAAAATGCAGGTCAGATTTAGGGATAAACATTGGGTTTTTTTTATTGTTTTGTGTTTTTTGTGGGGGGCGGGTGAGGAGTGTGAGTAATAAGGGAGAAGAAGGGCATCATTCTGGACAAAGAAAACATGATGAATCAAGATGTTTGAGGGAATGAAAAGTAAGAAATTGACTTGTCTGGAGTGAAAAGCAAGTGAATGAGCCATGGGAGAACCAAGTGTTACTAATTCTCAGTTGGTGATTCATCCTAAAACCTAGTCCAGTGTTCATTTTAAGGTTCTGATTCTAATTAAAAGCTTTACCCTGGGAACAGGAATTCAAAACCATTACTTAGTCATTTAGTTCTTAGGGCCTTATTGGATTGATATGTATTGTTGATCCTTGGTACCCTCAGTTGAGTGAGATTCCCAAAGGCCAGGAAACTGAGATGGTTCATCAGTATTTATTTTTCAGCTCTGAGACTTTTAATAATTACATTTTGGAGCTCTTTGTATACAGAGGCAATATGTCACAGTAGTCATACCAAGAGCCCTGCCTTCAGATCAGGGCTTCAGTGCTTCATAGTTATGTGACTGTGTGCCAGTTACTTAACCTAAGCCTCAGTTTCCTCCTTTCTAAAATGTGGAAAATAATAGGACTGTCATTGGGTTTAAATGCAAAGCACTCACTCTGGCTTATAGTAAACTTTCAGTGAATATTGCCTATTACTGAAGTAATTATTGCCAGGATGATTATAAGCATATTGCAAAAAAGGTTTGAGTCTCTTTCCTTGGGATATATGATGCTACACAGGCAGCTCTGGATTGGGTATTGCTTTATAAGGAAAATCATTTCACTTGGCCAAAATACTTCACTCTCTAAACATCTTTGGGTGATTCCATCTAAAATAAGAGAGCATGGTTCCATTCTATTACATACGGTATGTGATGTCAGGGCTCTAGAGTAACTAGATTAGGGTAAAAAAACAAAGACTAGTAAAAAAAAAAAAATTGGTAGGGTATTTTATTTTGGCCCTTTGTTGTTATTGTTTTTGTTTTACCAGTTGTCATTTTTAACTATTTTCCTTTATTAGCAAAAGTAAGTGGAAACAACCCACCAGGGGAATTGTGAGAAATTAAAAACAAATGATTAAATTTTATGTCATAGTACTTTTAAAACAAGGCAAAACTCTCCTTTGTATTACTTTTCCTTATAATCACCAATATTTATTGTTACAGAATGTGATGGTTGTTAGCTGTGTTTATCCTTCTTCAGAGTGAGTACAGAGATTTTTTCTTTTTCTAGTATATTATTATTGTATTCTAATTGCTATGTTACTTAAACATTATTCTTAAATAGATTACATTTATTTTACATGTAATTGTGATTACATTTATAAATACATGTGAACCTGCCATCCAATCCCCAAAGTGGAATATTACCAATAACATTACCTATGTTTTTTCAGAAAAGAGACTTGGATTAAAGAGATTGGTAATATGCCGTAATTCTAATATTGTTGGATTCATGTACTGCCATGGCACTCAGAGCCATGAGATGCCATCCTAGATGCCTTTCTGGGGCATGTGTCCTATGTTTAGAATAGCTACTTGATGGCATTGCTCATCGTGATGGAAAAGTATCTCCAGTTGTTAAGATTCATATATAGCAAAGTTAAGAACTCAGTTTAGGACATCGTTTCTCAGTCTTGGCACTACTGACATTTTGGACCAGCTAATTCTTTCTTCTGGGTAGATGTCCTGGGAAATTATAAGAGGTTCAGCAGTGTCGCTGGCCTCTACTCACTGATGCCAATAGTGTTACACTCCTCCAAATACCTGTAGACATTGCCAAATGTCCTCTAGGGGTGCAAAGGGCAGGGAGAGGAGGTTGCCCTCTGTCGAGAACTGTTGATTTTAAGGTTAAGCTGCCTCTGCTTTCCTAAGAAAGTAACAATGGTGAATTTGTTTCTAGAACTTTCTCAAGAATATATCTGTGTTGGTAAATGAAAAACTGAAATAATCCCAAAATATGTTTCTTGACATATTATGTTATAGAGAAACTATTTTTAAAAAGAATTACTTCCCTTTATGAGCTATTTGTTTTCCTAATGAATGTGAGGTATTTTGGAAGAAATTGTAAAAAAGTGCAAAGTTAAGTCATGTTGACGAAGTTTTTTTTTTTAAATTACAGTGTATGTTTATGTTAATTCTGATAGTTTTTGTTTGAATCTATCATTTAGATCCATGATTCTAACCAAAATTAAAGAACTAAACCCACCCATAAGTGTATTTTCTTTTCTTATAGGAAAAATAATTCCAATAGTTTAAATCGAATGAATGGTGTTATGTTTCCTGGAAATTCACCAAGCTATACTGAGAGGTGAGGTTATTGATTCTTAATATCCAAAGAGTTTGCGTTTGCCTGATTTCGAGTAGCAGACTCAGTATGCTTTTGGAAAATTGGGCATTTTATGGATGTTACAGTGTATACCACACAAAATTAGTTGATGCAATAAGGCATCTGAAAACAAATACAGCAAATACTTATGTGACATGTTCATATAAATATACTGTGGGAGGGATAACTTTTTACAAAAATAGAAAATGATGTTCATTTATCTTACAGGTCTAATATAAATGGGCCTGGAACACCCAGGCCACTTAATCGACCAAAGGTTTCTTTGTCAGCCCCCATGACAACAAATGGTTTGCCTGAGAGCACAGACAACAAAGAATCAAACTTACAGCCAAATGAAGAGAAAAATCACAGGTTTGTATGTGTTTTATATTAAAAAACAAAAAAGTTTTCATTAAAAGTTAACATTTATTAATGATTTTCAACATTCATTACTTACTGTTTATAATATACTATTCTCAGGGATAGAACAAGGTTTTAATATGATTTATAGGAGCTGTGGCTTCTGTTTGCAGCTTTAGCTGAAGATGAACATAGAACAGACTTCAAAACTGCTAATTCAGGAAAATTGTTTAAAAATAGGGTCTAAAGAAAGTAATGTAGTTATGGCATTTTTTGTTTTTGAAAGTTACTTAAAAGAGAAAAGAACTTTATAAATATGTTGAAGTTTTGTGAATAGTTTCTCATTGTAAATCAAAAAGGAAGACTTTTATTTATATCTTATTCCAAATTTTCTTTTAAAAAATGTGTTTTTTTTTTACATCGCCTTTTATTTTATTTGCTATCAGAATGTACTGATAGAAATACGAATTTACCATCTGGTTTTGTTTTGCTTAAAAGCATAATTTACCAATAGACTTCAATTGGTATCTCCATAGATCTTGAGTTTTGCATATAGGAAGCCAGGGTACTGATGTCTTATCTGGGTACATGCAGACAGAATGAAGTTTACACCAAGATAACTGGCAAACAGGTTAATTTGCCTTCAAACCTGGGTCAGTTGCTGGAGATGGAATCAAAAATCCTCCCTACTCTTACTCCTCAAGGATGGTTAACTGAGTAGAAAATGACTTTTTACGTAAAAAGTCATTGACAGCCTCAGAGAGAGATTCCTTAATTCTTGTCTGCTTTGGTTTATTCTACAAGTTCTATATTCTAAATATCCATTTAATTTTGTACCATGACTTTGCTTTTTTAGGTTTTTAATTATACAACTAATGTATAAAGCGTTAAAATAATGCTAAGGTATATTCCACTTTCTTTCAAATCTTTCTCCCTTCCCCCATCTTATTCCAAATTTTTTAAAAAGAGTATATTTGTATGAAAGACAGGTAGTTTTATTATAGGAGGATATTTAAATTAACTAGAGAATTGCACAGAAAGATCATGTAACTTGCTGACTAGGTCCTAATAAGAAGCTTTTTAGATTGTCTTAAAATTATTCTCTTGTATTTTTCTTTGATCAGATGTTATAATTTAACTTTGACACTAAGTATTAGACCTTAACAATGAAAATATAGAAGATGAGGAAATGTTATTAATGACACTTTAAAAAAACATTTACAGTGACTCTCTGACATCTGAATCAGAAGTTTCCTCAGTGAGCCCTATGAAAAATAAACATCCACATGAAGATGCTGGGGAAGCTGAGGGGCATGAGGTAAAAAGACTCAGGTTTGACAAAGAAGGTGAAGTCAGAGAAACGGCGAGTCAAACAACTGCCAGTGAAATTTCTTCAGTTATGGTAGAAGAAACAGAAGCATCATCTTCATCTCAGGATAAAGACAAAGAAAGTAGTTGTACCAGGCAGCACTGTACAGAAGACGATGAAGAAGAGGATGAAGAGGAAGAAGAAGGTATTTAGAGACCATCTGTAAAAGGGTGGAGTAAGGAGATCCTCAAATTCTTATACTTCATTTTTTTCATGAAAGAATTTAACATAATGGAACTCCTTATAATGCTGATGTTGGGCTTTTCTCCCACCTGTATGTAGTTGCTGCAGAATTTCAGGGGATATAATTTGAACTATAGAGTATCACAATTCATGAAACTTAACTGTGGAGGTATTTTGAAAATAAAATTTAACTACAACAACATTTGCTTATTTTTAGAGTCTTTTATGACATCCAGAGAAATGATCCCAGAAAGAAAAAATCAAGAAAAAGAATCTGATGATGCCTTAACTGTGAATGAAGAGACTTCTGAGGAAAATAATCAAATGGAGGAATCTGATGTGTCTCAAGCTGAGAAAGATTTACTTCATTCTGAAGGTAGTGAAAACACAGGCCCTGTAAGTAGTAGTTCTTCTGACTGCCAGGAAACAGAAGAATTAATAGGATCCAATTCCAGTAAAACTGGAGAGATTCTCTCAGAATCATCCATCGAAAATGATGATGAAGCCACAGAAGTCACAGATGAACCAGTGGAACAAGACTAACTATTTAGAAACATTTAGATGCAGTATTTTACATACAGTTCTGGTTTTAACACTGTATAAAACTTTTATGTAAAAGTGGACCTTTAGTTTTACAAGAGAAGCAGGTTGTAAAATAAAGAGTTGTACATGTAAGAACTGTGAATATCAGCTCCTCTGGGTCCTGCTTACCGCTGACATTTTTTTTGGTCTGGTCAAATCAGTGGTTTGTGTATAGATTTTTTTTTTTTAATTTAGAATTAAAGTTTTTAAACTGGAAAGTAATTATAATTTTGAAAATTTTTTGAGATTATCACATTTAGTTTATACATATGCAAGAAAGCTTTTTGTCTTGTCTCTTTCTGACAGCTCTAGCAGTTTTCATATTTTGGTCATAGTTTCAACATTTTAACATATGAATTATAGGGTTTCATGCTGGTTTCCAGATTTTATTGTTTGACTATGTACAATGGAACTTTAAGTCATATATACATATATATAATAATCTAAGGGGGGAAATGTTATATTTTTCTGTTTCTATAAGAGATGAATACAGTGGATACTTTTTCTATTGGTAATGATTGAGTTCACTTCTTTCAGAAGACATTTTCTTTCTCTTCTGAGTAATTCAGATGAAATCTGGCCCTTGTGAAACCCTGGAAATCTTAAGTCTGTTGAAATACCAGGTTAAACACATTCCAAGAGATCTGTTCAAACTGAAATTCTTTTGTATACTTCTGAGGTGCCTGAGAAAAAAAGACTTCATTATTTATGAGAAAATGTGCTTTATCTTGGAAATTGTGTTCAAACATTAGCTTACTGTTTTGTAGAACGAATACTTACGAAGCTGACATGAGACCATCTCAGAAGAACCAGGCAGGTTCCTTGACCTTTTGCTTGCTTTTCTGAACATTGTGAATATTACACATTTCTTTCTAAATTATTCTAGAGTATGCAAATGTCAATGGTATGAAACACCACTGTGCTGGAAGAATTAATATATTACTTTAGTCATGTACCTAAGCTAAATGACTGAAGTTTTAGGGGTGCATAGAAACCACCATAATTTGTATAACATTTTGAAGTGAATTAAATATTTTTGAACATGCTTCTTCGACAGCCAGTGTTATATTTTTCAGATCAACACAAAGCACAATGATTACTCTAAACTCAATATTTTCAAATTCACGTATTTAAAGTCATGCAAGCTGCAACTTCCCTGTCAAAATTACTGGCTGCCAAATTTATACCTGTTTCTTCAGCTGTACTTTTTGATATTTAGAATTTTTAAATTTCTGTAAAGTAGATTTTGTAGAATGTAATGTGTTCGCTGCCTTTGTGAAGCGGTATATAATTGTATAATTTCTGTGTGTAAACTGAATGCTTGGGCTTTCAATACAGTATTCATATAAAGCAATAAATATTAATGTTATGAAATATTCGAGTACATTTTTATCAAAATATAAAAGAATCCCTTTTTTAGTTTCAGATACCTGAAGTACACAGATGAACTTATAAAACTGATGCGAACAGTTTCTGACACTGTATCATATGTTTTTGGGTGATTTGGGGGGCAACCATAAGTTTTGCGTTTTGACTACTTAAATTGCTACGTCTAAAAACACCTAAATGATTCGGCTCCTTTTGTGTTTATAGGGTAATGTACTACTGACTGACTGAGTGTCAGGTTAGCAGCAGCTAGGTGATATATTTATGAATGAGTATGTCTAATAGTTGGAATAAAAACTAAATATTGGTTTACTATACCCAAGAGGGGGAGAAAAATCACACATTGTAAATTTAAAAAATTTTTTTTTTGCGAAAAAATGTTGAAGCAGATTTTAAATGTGACGTTCATTTGTAGTGTCCTATTACTTTATTTTGTTGAGGGATATTTTGACAATGAGAACAGATTTTAAACATTTTAAGTTTAGAAATTTTGAAATTTTCTTTAGAATATTTATGAAATTACTGTCAATAAACCTATTCTTTAAGATCCTGTGACCTTTTGATATTTTTTGTTTTAATTATACCATGGACCATTTGTAAACAACTTGATTTTTGTTGGTTATAAGTTGAAGATTTAGCATCGTGACTTTTAAGGTCTGTGGTTTTATTTGTAAACTTGCGATTGCTATTTTTGCAAGGGCAAATGTATTTCTTTATTAAATAAAGTACAATAATGGTGAATGTACCAAAATGACATCACTTAACTCTATGAGAGATCTACATTTTAATCTATAGTTTAATAGTTTTAATATTTATTAGCTATTCATGTTGATCATAGATCAAACTTGTTGCTGTTTATACAGATAATTGTAGAATGCTCATGGAATATCTTCTTTAGGATAGGTGGAATACTTCTATAGTTAAATTGGGAAACCTTGTTCAGCTGGTTTAGATATTAATGGCCATTTGGAAGTAAATTTCCACAAATATGCATAGGTGCACTTAACAAGGACTTTGCTTAAATAAAAATGTTCTAATAGTAACTGATTTATTTGTGAACTTTTACAAGGCTAATTTTAGGCATATTTTCTTGACATATCAAGCAAAGTCCTACTAACAGATCTTCATTTAAGAATCAAGACCTCAGTGATTAAAGATATTTTGTTTTTGACCTTGAGCAGATCACTTACCTGTTACTATAGACTGTAAACCCAACATGTAGAAAGAATTGGAAGATGCTGATGAGGAAATTGAGAATACATATGTAATATTTTTTTAGCACTTTTCCCTTTTAAAAAATGAAAAAATTATCACAAATTTTTGAAAAATATATATCTTTTCAGTCTGAAAATGTAGCAGACCAGAAATAAGTAGTGAAAATGTCACTTTTTAAATGTTGATTATTAGATCAATTTATTCTGCTTAGGGTTTATTGTAACTACACCTTTCGGAAGTGTGTCCGGAGCAGTGGAATTGCTGGCCAGCGAGCCGTAACCCTCTGGCTTGGAAAGGTGTCTCTGAAGTCCTGGGCCAGAAGGTGTGGCCTGTTAAAGCATAGAGGTTTAGAGTATTTTGTTTTGCCGGTGTAGATAGGCATGTATTTATGCATTTTTGCATTTGTAAAATCAGCAATTTTTCAAATAATGTAAATGTAATATACTAGTTTACTTATAAAGGTACTTGGGCAGAATCTAAAGCTGCTACAATGTTTGATTATGAAAAATGTAACTTGTGGTAAGGACGAAAATGCAACTTGTGGAACCAAAGGAAATAAAAATTTGGGGTAGTGTTTCAAATTGTCTTCTGAACAGGAGTTTCTTAAATACATTGGTTTTGATAAAATGAAGGTCAGTTCTCTTGAGATTTGTGCTAATCATCAAATGGATGAATGCTAAAACACCTTGTAATTTCATATGGAATTATTAAAATTAGGTTTACTGGGTTATTGGCCTAATAAGAATGCTAGTATGTATTGGTTAGAATACATCTACTATTTCACATTTAAAAAATAATCAGTACACTTTCTTCGGAATTTTCTTTTATTTCAACTTGGAGCCTAGATTACTTTGCCAAATAAATGTATTATTTTCGTAATGCAATAAAATATAAATTAGAAGATCTTCATGTGTGGAATTACTTTATTTACCATAATAGTTCACCCTGGCCCCCTCCCTGCCTACCTCAGATAATCGAGGCTCCACAAGCATCTGATGATCTATGGGAAGGAAGCAATGCATGCCGTTACTATAGCTGTTTCCTGAGTGGTAATACGGTGTGGCAGCAGGGAGGCTGCACCTCAGTTGAATGGACAGTGTGGTTCTTTGCGGGCACTTCAAGACTGGTTTCTGACAGAAATGTGAAGTCCGGACTTACAGTAAACATAGCTCCATTGGCATAATTTGGCACTAGGCTACATGCACAGATCTACAATGTTGGTGTTAGAATCATTTTAGAAATCCCACTTTCAGACAACTACGTGGTAAGAAGTATAGAATTAACCCAAAGCGGAGAGGACTGTTTTCAAATCTGGATTCTCATTTCTTTATGCATATTATTGCACAGTAGGTGTAGTAGAGAGTAACATCTGTGGCCCTGAACTCGGAGGAGATGGAGTGCTGGTCAGCATGTTTCTAAACTTAGTTGAATAGTTTTGACTCTCAGCTTCTCATTCATGTTTGAGCTCTGTGACTTTTCCCCACTAAATTTTATTTACTAAATTGTATCGCTAATAGAGAGTTTGGGGATCATAATAGGAAGACTGATTCTCCCACTGACCGGGAGTAAGATGCATGATCTCTGGCTACTGCCCTATCTAAAATGAAGACTGTACTACTTTCTGGCAGTTTGGGGACAGTGTTTTTAGTTTAAAATTTAGCCATGGAGTTTGTGGTCTTTGGGTTTGCTTGTAAGTTTCAGGGTTTTTCTTCCCAAAGGTAATTTTTTAAACTAAAAGTAATGACGATACAAAAATGCTGGCAATTCCCTGTATACTGCTAGTCTGTAAACTCCACTGTTCTGATCATCTTTATAACCTCACAGGCTAGTCTCATGCCTGGTAGGTGGTAACAGAATTGAAAGCAGGTGGGCTGGGTGGATAGTGACTACACAATCCACTTTGGATTCCTAAGTTGGCCATTTCGAGGGTGCCGAGTTCAACCTTGAAGCTTTTCTTTGCTGCTAGGTTTATGGAGTTGGGAGTAGTACATGCTGTTGGATGTCCTTGACTGGTAATCAGTAGGCGGTTTCCTGTGTATCACCAGGAAATGAGCAGGCTCTTCATTGGGATGAGACCAGCTACCTCTGACCTATACAGAAAGCATAGCACCCTCACCTGATAGAAGACAGGTGCTTCTGCAAGTGGCAAGTCGTGTCATTAAAACACTGAAGTCTGCTTCAGACATGGTATAATGGGACGTGATACTAGGTCAGTGATACTTGCATGAAGAAATTTTTTGCGGTTGAGTAGGCTTGTGGGGCTTTTAATGCTGCTTTTGTTGTGAATTTGGAGATAAATATGGGTTTAGTATTTTGTCTTTATTTTGGATCATATTTTTTTTTTCTTTGCGTTGCGTGCGGTGCTATAGAATGGAAGGGTAAGCTCAATGGTTACCAACAGTTCCCATGTACATTTAGGAATGCATGCAATTTCCCACTTTCAACCTGGGTGAGTAGCTAAAACTAAGTCACTGGTTTGGAATTGAGAATACAGTTCTCTTATAAATTATTTAAAATGTGGCTAACTTTCAGGCCACATTTTATTCAAGAAGTTGTTTAGTCCCTAATGTGATTGTAGTATAGTCTTAAGTGTAGCAGTTGAAACGTTTCTATTGGAAAAATGTGGGCCAGTTTGTGGGTTTGCCAAAAAAAATGCCTCTCCCACAGTTCGGGCAGTGCAAGTGAGGACTGCAGGTGGAGGTGTGTCAGGGAGGATACAGCAGCTTGCCAGATATGTCAGTTATTTTAAAAGTCAGCAATTTAGCATAAACTACTAAATATCGCTCAGTATTTGGTGATTCGGAATGCAGTAGAATTGGCAGTCTTGTCATTATGATGTTTTTGTATTGAATGTTAGAAGTGTACTAAGGTATAGGAGGTGGGTCTAAATTTCCAGTATATTTCGTAAGTTTCCTCTAAAAAATAATAGAACACAGAAAAAATTCCAGGTGTTTGAGTATTTCGTTTTAATTTCACAGTACTGTATTTATGGTTATGCAGTTTCATTTATGCCAACAAATGGAGGTATGAAGAGGTGCACACAACATACAGATGCAGAAACACATCTGTCTCAGGTGGCAACTTGGATGAGTTGCTGTGTATTTGGGGGGCAAAAGAGTAGACTCAGTCCAATTTTAATCTTTGAGGAATTCAGTCACCTTTGAACAACAATAAGCAATGCAAGATTTTAGCTAACGGTGGCATGCGACTTGAAGAGATGCACAGGAGAGCCATGTTAGTGCAGTTGCGGCAGTCTGGGAAGGCTGCTCGGGTGAGGTGGGGCTCGGCTTGGCCGTCGATGAGCAGGACAGGGAGGTAGCCCAGTGTGACGGGCAGAGGAGAGGCTGGGGAGTCGTAATGAGATGGGTTGTCACAGCTTCACCATCCCCAGCTGAGGCATCTGTGCTAAGTTACAGTATTTCTTTGAGCTTTAGTTTCTTCATTTATAAAATGCGTATAATAACCTGGTAGGATTGTTGGGAGCATTAGGTTAGTATGGGTATAAAGCTAGATCTAGTCCAGAGTCTGATGTTTTAAGGGAGGAGAGACCTAGAGGGAGGAGGGAAAAATGCCTGTTGTCCCTGGGGAACACAACGGGTTTTATTGGAATCAAAGTCCAGGTTTCAGTCTTGGTCAATACCAGGATAATAACAGCAAGCGCTAATTGGACACTTACTTTATCCTTAGCACATGTCATGTGTTACCTCGTTTAACCTTTCTGTCAACTCTGTGAGGTGCTAATACTATGCCCATTTTATGGATATTTGAGGTAAAG